GCCGCCCAGTCGACCACGGCCCTGCCCCTCTGGCGATACCCCTGCCGGGGACCACAACCTCACCCCTCAGAGTGGACGTTGAAGTTCCAGGCAATTATGACCGGCCAGGGATGGCACTGCCCTACTACATCCCCGATCTCATCAAGGATCACCTTTATCCTGGCAAGGTTCCCGAGGCCCACTCTATTTTTGCGGTGGGGGAGATACACCTCCACTACAGTGATGGGCCCCCAATCGACTGCCACATACGAGGTCCCCGTCCTCCCGATTGTGCAGGGGGAGACCCCGTTGCGGGTTCTGCCATCATAGCCACCGAGCCACCTGGGCTGCCGAACCAACATGAATTGTTGGACGGCACCCAATGTGGCTCAGTGGCCACCCCCAGCCCGGTACTCAGTTCCCTGATCCTTTGTACCCAGAGGTCCTGGGCCCGGGCGCCGCGGCCGAGGTTAGCCTGTAGCACTCGGAGTATCGTGAAGGCTGGGCCTTCACGCTTCCTCCGGGCGTGCTACCTCTCCCTCCTCAGGAGTGGGAATCATCGGAGAGAACATGCTGACGTCAAACACTCTCCCCTCAGAGAGGGGGAGACTTGCCTGGGTGAGCACCACAACTTACGAATCATCCCCTGAGGAGGTTCCGGCTATGATGGCCGCAATCTTAAGCGCCTCCACGGAGACACGGGGGGTCCCTACCTCGGCGACTCCCTCCTTTCGGGAATATGAGGAGAGGTCGGCTACTTGAGGAGTCGGGGGTAGTGCGCCCTCCGGCTCCCCTTTATCTACAGCAGTTAGGAATTCCTCAACCCTTCTTACTTTCTCTTTCAGTTCCGTTTCCTGGGGATCCTCCGCTCGGTCCCCTGCAGCTTCTGCCTCGTCCTTCTCTCCTTTTCTCTTCCTTTTGGACTGCGGCATTTGCTCTGTTTCCAGTTCCTCGGGGAGTGGAGTCTCCCTCCTCCTTCCCCAGGTCCCACGGTGGGAGAAGGGCCTCCTCGGTCCCCTCCCACTCCAGGTCCCTCGTTGGGGAGGAGACCAGTCCGATCCCCTCCCTTCCCCGGTCCCTCGTTGGGGAGGAGACCAATCCGGTCCCCTACCTTCCCAGGTCTTTCGGCGGGGAGTTTACCATTACTGTCACCTCCCTTTGACGATCCCCTATTGGATAGGAGATCCGGTCCTCCTCCTCTCTCTGCAGTTCGGGTGTCGATGACTCGGCGGAGGTTCGGGCCTCCCCCGCCGGCGTCTCCTGCTTCACATTCCAGAGGTGGTCAGTCCGGCCTCCCCCTTCCTCTGCACTTGTCCATCCTTGGCACCCCTTTCTCCCTTTCTTCTCCTCTTCCCAGGAGGAGGCCTGCAGACAGGTCCTCCGATCTTATGATCGGACGGCCTGCCCGCCTCCGCGCACACCGGACAGCCTGCCATTGCCGCCTCGCAGCATTTGGCGCGGTGGCCGGGGTTACCGCAGCGGTAAAAAAGACCGCTGCGATCGACGGCGCTTGTGCACCTCTCGCGCACATGCCTCCGCTCCAATCAGAGGAAGCACAACTGTGCGCGAGCAGGCAGCGCCCGGCTCGGGTCCACCCCACCGGGACCCGCTCCGCGGCGGCGACCTTAGCAGTCGCCGCCAACGGAGACCGCACCACTACGGTCGCAGTCCCCCGCTAGGAGAAACTCAGCTCGCCTACAGAGATTTCCGCAGGCGAGCAACCCCTAGCGAGGGACATAGCAGCTGTCACCTCGTCGGTCCCGGTCGTTATGTCCAGGTCGGTGAGTTGCAACGCTGCGACCTTCACCGGTCTTTGGACACGATAGCCGGGACCTTTTTCCGCCGCCAGCTTGCGGAGAGCCTCCGCAAACCGGTTGGCGGGCGCCCCTGCGTTGATGCCGGGCACCTCAATGATCATTTCCCCGTTTGGGGCTTGGCGGACCCTGAGGGAACCATCGATTCCCAAATCCGCCGACTTCATCCGGCGCCTGGCCTCTACCATGAGCTCATGGTATTTTTCGCGGGGGCACGCGACAGTAACGGCTGCCGCCGAAGTCGGAATCCCTTTTGTCACTCTCTCCGCAGCTCCTGTCCCAGGGCGTCTTCCCGCTCCCTGCTGGTCCATCGCCCTGACCCGCCTCGGTCCAGCTCCCTGTTGCTGCTCCTCTCTCCTCCTGGCTTCTCCTCTTCTCCTGCTCCCTCTTCTTCCTTTTCTCCTCCCCAGCAGTCCCTTTCTGCCCCACTGGTGGGGCAGGACCCGGCTGTTGGGCAGTCCTCTGCTTTTTCACTGGGGCTGTTGGGGCCATACTCCGAGAAGCCGGTGTCGGAGCCCATTTACTCCCGGCCGCCACGACTCTCTCCCTTTCGGTCACAAGGCGGAGCAACTTGGCCGTGAGCCGGTTATACTCCACCTCCCACTCCTGGGAGAGAGCCATGGCAGCTATGGAGTCATCAAGGGCCTTTCTTGCCCCCTCAGCGGTGGCCTACTTGCCGGGGGGAGGGGTCCTCCGACAGGCAATGTCCTCTGTCATCATACGACAGAGTTCCACCGGGGGACACCTCTCTTCTCCTTTCCTCTAAGGAGCTAGATGAAGGGGTTCTCATCTTCTTCCTCCTCATCTTTGTCCTCTCCTGTCTCGGCGCGGCAGCTGCGGCCTCCTCCGCAGACGTGCTGTCCCTCGTGACCTCCGTCCTTGTCCTTGTCCTTTTGAGAGGTGGAGGATGCGGAGGAGAAGGGGAGGCAAGGGCGGAAACAGCTGGGGCCACCCTGGCCCTTAACTCCTTGTGGAGTTGCTCGTTCTCCGCCCTCAGCCTCCTCATATCCTCCCGGAGTTCCCCCATCTCCCTCTTAGTCTCCGAAACCTCCTCCCCTTGATCATCTTGCATGGCCATCCTCGTGATCAAAGTGGTCAGTACGGCCTCGGAGGTGTCCACGGCGCGGTTCAAAAGTGCCACGAAGGTCCCCCTGAGCGTCCGGGACCTCCGTGCCACCAATCGAACCGCGCCTAATGCTCGGCCCGCCTCCGAGGCCAGTTCCGGTGCTCTAGCCTCCCTTAGCATGTTCTTGGAGGCGGGATCCTTATAGACCTCCTCAACCGTTTGTCCTCCATGGAACAAAGCGCTCCCTTACTGAGGAGGTCCCATGCCTCCCTCTCCAATCTCTCACTTTCCTCCTCCTTCTTTCTTTCTTTTTCCTTTTCCATCCTCTCCCTTATATCTACTCCCTTCCCCGTGGTTGCCGGTCTTCTTCGGGGGTATCAGGATAGGTACCTCTTTTACCGAGGAGCCACTGCTAGTGGCCTCCCTGGTCCTCTTTCTCCCCGCCGCAGATGTTAACGGGTCTCCCTCCTTCACAGCCGGTGTTGCTGACTGCTTGGATGCCGAAGCCTGGGTAGCCCTGCTGAAGCCTGGAACCGGGATCCTAGACTTCTATGATAAAATAACGTCGAAGCGGTTCACCGGGCCTCCGGTGATCCGCCCCGACACCTTCACTGCCATTTTCGACCCTCCCTTCCCCTTTCCTGGGTCTATCCCCTGTGCCCCTTTAGTTTTTATAGGGGGGGCCTCCCTCTTTACCATTTTGGTATTGAGGGGGCCGGTTTTGTTGGCCTTTGGTACCGGGATTTTACTCCTGGACCCCAGAGACTTCATTGTTCCACGTTGGGTGGCCGCCCTTGTTCTATCCGACGAGCTCACCTCTCTATCCCCGCGGTCAGGGAAGAGAAACTGGCTACTTGCCAGCGAAGATGATGGGCAATCCTCAGAAAAAGATGACCCCCCGGAAGTTACTCTTCCGGGGTCCATCGCCCCACCATCCCCGGGGGGTGGGGAGGAGGCACCCGCCTGTTGATTTTCTCTCATCCCTCCTGTCAGTCCTACCTCTCCCTCTGAAAAATCACTCGCCAAAACGAGTGGTGAGTCCTCAGACAAAGTTCCCCTCCCCTGGGCGGTCCAGCATCCGCAGAAGGTCGAGGAGACCGAGAGACCACACGATGAATCTGTGGTCAGAAAGCGTTTCGCTCTCGGTCTCCACCGACCACTCCCGGAACATCCGGGCGGCCGAAGAGGAAGCCCACGTCAAGTCAATGACGGACTCCCCATTTGGCCGCACGCAGGTGCTGGCTGACCCCCCTGTTCATCAACAGGAGGTCCAGACCGCCGCCAAGTCGATCAAGGTTGTAGCTGGACCTCAATGAGAAATTCTTGACATAGTTGTCAAGCATCCAGATTCAACTCACGATGCCGTAATATTTGATCGTAATATTTGATCTGCGCTGTTGTTTCGAGCTAGGACACCTGGACGGCATTTTACTTGGTAATAGTGGATATGTGTGCCGCAGCTATCTACTAACGCCTGTTTTAAGACCTGAGATAGACGCAGAAATTCGATCCAATACTGCACATACCAAAACATGAGTTATAGTTGACCAACTATTCGGAGGTTGGAAACATCGATTTCCATGCTTGTACTACGGCTTAAGAACAAAGTTGACCACATCAGTGACAGTTGTATGTGCCATTGCCGTTTTGCATAATGTGTGTATACAAAATAATTTGGGTGAAGTGGTCTGAGAGGAACTTAATAAGAATATATTTGAAGACATTATAAATCGAGAACAAGATGGTATAGGACTTGCACACAGAAATGCTTTTATTTTAAGATATTTTTTTTTAAATATGAAACAGTGCTGTGAACCAATTATATTTTTTATATTAAGTTTATATCTACGACGAATAGCATGTCCTAATAATGTTAATCAAGATAAATTCATACAAATTTACACTTATATATATGTTTAGATTAAAAATTAATAATTATTTGAAGAATGTTTTATTTATTTACCAAAAACTAAACTAAAATGTTTCTTATTTAAAGTGGCGTTTCAAAATTTAAAAACACAAGATTTCATCTTTTGTTATAAGTATATTTTGTAATAAACATAAACAATTTATATAAATATTTTATTGTATACAATTATTATTTATTATATACAATACATTATACTTGTAACAATAACTATATATTTAAAAACATAACTTACATCTGTAGGATAACTTTAAAAAGGTCGTTTTATCATATATAAATTATATCGTTATCAATATTTTATATTATACTATGTTTTCCTCCCTCAACAGTTTTAGCATAACAATCTTCTCTTCAACAATCGCCATTTTTTAGCATGAAGCTCCCGCTGCTGCTCAATTGCTTCTCGCAGTTTTATTAATCTTCATTATTTTTCATTACAGTTCTGAAAATCAATTACTTTGCCATTAATATTTTATTATCATTAATTTGATGAAATGCAGATTACTTTCCTCCACTTTCGTTTCGTTGTGATTTCAATAATATTGCCAGTAAGACAAATATCCTATTACTATATAAACGTTATACATTAGGCTGTTGCTGAAATATTTATGTATTTAATTTCATACACAAATCAGTTGAAATGATATGTTCATTTAATATTGTAATATACAAAGTTTAATATGTAATGTTACTGGGATATATTTGCTTTACCAGCAAGTTATTGAAATGACAACTAAATATTATTCCTATTAACGAATATTAATAATTAATATAAACTTAATTTATAAGATTTTTCATTACCATTAGATTTTTATTCTTTAAAGTGGCCCCTTTTTCCAATGGTGTGCTATGAGATTAGATGGGATGCTTTGATCATACAAAAATACATCATTAGTATCTTCCTCGTCCTTCTCATTTTCATCTTCGATGATTACTTTTGTGGATGGCCTTTGTGTGGACTAAGAACATATCTGTACATTATCTGAAAAATGAAGTCAAAATTGAATGTTGTAATATAAAAGAAAAATAAGATCTACGTATAGTGCTTACATTTTTTCTCAAATACTGTAGTGCTGTCAAATGGGCAATTAATTTCTACATCTAAGTTAGCATGTGTTGCATCCATGAATTTCATTACTGGGTCATTCGATTGTACTAGTGCAGAACCTCCACTTGTCATAAACCGGTGGTGCCGGATTACCGTGTTTAATTTTCATTTCCTGAAATGATAAATTAATAAAATAATAAGATAATAAGATAATATTTCCGAAGATGGATGGAAATATACCAATCAGAACGCAGTATTTTCATCCAGCAAGCAATCCAGCACGAAAACAAGCACCGCATGCCGTTGGCTTTAGATAAGGAAGGACTATGAATACGGGTATATGCTGTGTTCCAAAATTCACTGCCAGTACTGAAAATACATAGTTTGTATCACATATATTATAGATTTTCAGTGCTGGCAGTGAATATTGGGACATGGCCTATGGCTGCGTTCCGATATTCACTACCAGTACTGAAAATACATATTTTGTGTCACGTATATTATAGATTGCAGTCCTTGGCAGTAAACATCGGAACACAGCTTAAGCCAGCGGCACACGATGCTTGTTTTCATGCTGGATTGCTTGCTGGATGAAAATACTGCGTTCTGATTGGTACATTTCCGAAGATGGATGGAAATGCACCAATCAGAACGCAGTATTTTCATCCAGCAAGCAATTCAGCACGAAAACAAGCACCGTGTGCCGCTGGCTTTATATTAACTTGAAGTGGACAGAGATATTGAAATCTCAGGCCCAAAGTTGAAAGAAGAAGACCTCGGGGTGAACTGAAGGCACGGTGATCTGGGGTGCGTTCCATTTCACGCATATGCGCGCATTTATCTATAGTTTATGTAACATATACTATAAAAGATGCGCGCATATGCGTGAAACGGAACGCACCCTGGATTGATCATTATATCAGGAAAAAAAACAGTTCGGTAAAAGAAACGAAGAATAGGAACGCCTAAGTCACATGCATGATTTTATTTTGCGGTAAACAGAACAATTATTTGTAGAAACAAGAATATAAAATGTAAATATTGTTTACTAAATATGAGTCATCACATGTTTAAAACAGAGAGAAGAATGAGAGCGGCCACCGGCCGTATTTCGGGGGTACGGCTAGGCGCATTTTAGATACGCCATCTGACCAAAATGCGCCTAAACTACGTCCGCTAGGCGCACTTTCGCGGTGATAAAAGTAAAATGCGCCTAGGTTCGTGTCCGTACTACTTCCATTCAATGGATAGTAGGTTAGAAAAAGACAGACGACAGACAATCGTTCCGTCTTTGTCTCACTACTGAGCGGCGCGCGGCAGTAAACACGAGGCGAGGTAACGGCGATCTTATCGCTAAGTGAACAACTCTCCGCTTTTCTTTCATCTTTCACGCTCCAGAGACATCAAAAGACGCGGTAGCGTCTCGTGTCAAGGGAACGTGCGAAGCGAGGAATTATTTTTCACGCACGCGAGGTAGCACATGGGAGACTAGACGAGCGTCGACATATTATCTGTTTCTTTCCCGTTCGTCTAGCTTATTAACTGCGTGAGCCGCGAGATTTTTCTCGCTACTCCTATACCTCGCTCTTTCTCTCTCTCGCTCGTTCTTTCTCTCTCTCGCGCACTTGCTCGCTCTTCCTCTCTTCTCGTGTTCTTACGGCTTGATTAAATATATTAATTACATGACAATATATATATAAATAAATGACACATATATAGTGTATATGTATATAAAGAATATTTAGTATTAATGCCCAAATAAAGAAGAGAGAATTATAATGAGAGACGAAAAGTTAAGGTAATAGAAATCCACTCTTAGCCAATATATACATCTTTTAAAAATGTATTATCTTTTAAAAATATATTCATTGTTAATCTCTTCTCTGCTTTGCATTTATTTTCAAGCTTTTCGCATTATGTTTCAAATCAGCATGTTAATATTTGACTTGTGAAAGGAATCGTTAAATTAACAATTGAAACTTAGAGAATGTAATGAAAGGCCATATATCATTGATAATTGATACGAGCAACCATCTAACTGACATCGTTCCTAGACAGCACGCGATCACAAGAACGTCCGAAAGACATCTAGAGGATGTTTTACGTCCTAAGAACGTCCGAAAGAAATCTGAAGACTTCCAAACGTCTTCCAAACTTTGTAAAGTCTCTAGCATATTCCTTGGAGATCTTGTGTTATGTGGCTTTCGATGTCGATCGACGAATCATTCCTCGCAGGGATCTTACTGTTTCATATATTAACGTCCTTTTTTTTAAAGAAAGGCAGATTCGTATATGTATTCTCTTAAAGTGAATCAGTAAAAATGTTTTTTATTGTATCAGTAAAAGGAATATTTCACCGTTTTCTGCTGTTTCAATTTTGAAATGGTAAAAAAGTTTGATACCTTGTAATTGCAACTGTTCGGCTTATTATCATTCTAATATTACATATTATTTTAACAACGTTGCATTCTAAATCTCAGTACCACAAAATTCTCACAATCCGCGCGATACTCTTTAAAATATAATCAGTGCATTTTTTATTGAAACATTATAGTTGTAATAGAAGCTTTTGCTCTAAATATAGCACTGCAAAAAATTTCGCTAAAAGAATCAGTGAATAACAGCGATTGTTCATGTTATTGATGCAGTTTGCAAATACTGACTGTGTCACTGCACACAAATCTCTTTCTTTTGTTCCATTTATATTTTATTATTTCTCATCAGTAGAAGCAAGATTTCACTGAAATTTTATTTCAGATAAAATTTATTTTAGATTTTTTGACAATGGATTGAACGTTGAGGTTTTATATCTTGGCCATCACAATTACTCGATCTAACATCTATGGATTTCTTTGTGTGGGGGGCTAAGCTAAGAAATCGAATCGTGGCTGCTGTGCATCAAATATCATAAGATTAGTGTTTGGCTGCAATACAAGCTGTCAGTAATAGATGCAATATTTGCATTGCTGCAAAAGGTCAACATTTTGAACAATCTATTTACTAAGTAAAGCAATAAATAAGTGTAAACAAATTACAAAAAGAATAAGTGTAAATATTAAATAAACACTTTTTTTGTTTTTTTGTGATTTTCTTCACAAGGAAGTTAAAACGAGCAAATCTGTAAAGGACTTTTTTCTTACTTTATCGATCCTCTACACGCTTTTGAAGTTTTGACATTTAATTTCGGGACACCCTGTACAGTACTTATAATTTTTCAGTAAAAAATTAAGTTGGTTTTTAAAAATAATGTAATAAAACGTTAATAAATACAAAGATTATTGAAATATTTATATAACATTCACCTATAATTCTTCTTCTTATTTTATTAAAGTTATTTCATAATTTCCCAATTGCAATTTTTTTGTCTGAAAATGCTCTAAATATTGAAAAATGTGATTGTTGCTTTGTAGTATGAAAAACTGACAGTTATGATTTCATTATTAAATATTAAATGCTTTATTATTAATTATTAAATATAAAAATAATTGATATAATGATATCAAAAGAAAAAAAAATCCTAAATTGGAAATGTGTAATATGATATTTAGAACAAATATTATTTTCAAATTATATTCAGACGAAACCATGACTTGATGCCAAATATCTTAGTGCAACCATCATAAAATTCTTCATTTCATGATGCTTACTGTATAATACACAATTATTCTATTGGAATACATATACAAATCTCTTGCTACGGAAGTCAGAAATAAACGCGTATTCGCTTGTTTTTCATTTTTTGTTACAGGAAATACTAAGTTGGAGACATGGTCTCCGAATACCCTTCGAGCTGCGGGATTGTGCGAAGATCATTTTGTTGTGACGTCCTTTAAAAATCCACAAAAAATAAAATTGCGTAGAGATGCCGTACCAATTCCGTACGACAAAGATGCCTCTTCTGCACATAAAGATAATATAGAAATAAGAGAGGTACAAAGGGACGTTGCAGAATTATCTTTACCCAATCACCAAAATATTATATTAGAAAAAGAACTTCAACAGTCTGCAGTACGAACATATGGATCTGGAACTGTACTTTTCGACATTACTGCAGAAGAGGAAGATGTCATGGAATGGATGCATTTGGAACCAGAACCACACACACGTGAGAATGTGAAACGTAAGAAAAAATGCATGCAAAGTAAAGAAAATCCAGATAACAATCCAGATTTAATTATCAAGGCTTTAAGAATAGAAAATCTTAATTTACGAAAAAAAAGTAAATGTTTAAATTATCAGTTGCGATATATGACACAAGCGCGTGAAAAATGTAAAAGTCAAAAGTCGGAAAAACAAATATTAAAGAATTTGATAAATAAACAAAAACTTAATCCTGTTGCAAAAAGTATGATACATTTGCAACTGCATATTCCGCTCACACAATATACAGAGTGTAACGAGGCGCAGATGCACCTCGTTACTACCGGCCCGACCGACCACCTGTCGGGCCGAAGAACGGCGCTTTGCGCCACCTTAAGCTATCGAAACGATCGCGCCACCGCTATCTCGCGCCGCCGCTATCGCGCGCCGCGGCGATCACGTGCTGCCGCTAGCGCGCGCGGCCGCGATCACGCGCCGTCGCTGTGCCTCGCGCCGATAGGCGCACCGCTCGATCGCCGCCGTATCAATTGTAGCGCGATCAATTATAAAACGGCGGCGATCGAGCTTCTAGACACCAGACCGATCCGTACCGCCGATTCAATCTAGACGCTTGTATGCCGAAAGAGAGAATATCCGGACCGTTGCGCTCTGCTTTCCGTATTCTGACTACCCGACCGGCGACTAAGCAAACGGGATTGTGCGTCCGCAGTCTCGATCGAGCGTACTCGATACTTGGCCGTCTCCCGTCTTCCTGGGCTCGTGCGTGCGCGTGCTCAGTCGAGCGTACTCGACAGTCTCTCGCCTTTACCCGCCGCTTTGAGTCAGGGGTTCGTCCGTCGGCGAACTCCGCTGAGCGTACTCAGCCTTTAGGCGATCCGTCTAGCGACCAAGAACCCGGGACGGTGTGTCCGCCATCTCCACTAAGTGTCCGCAGCACTTGGTCGCTTTCCTCCGCGAACGTAGGGAAAAGGGAAGGTGCATACGCCTTCTCTGTCGAGAGTCCTCGGCCCCGACGGACGAAATCATTTCGCGTATTCCGCGACTTGCGTGCGTGCGTTCGTCCGAGAGTCGAAATCTCCGGTCCGGTGACCATCTATACGCGAGCGATTGCGAGACGAGTATTGGGCGATAATTGTCCGAGACGCCCAGCGTCGCGAAGTGAGACCGATCACCGCGCCGTTACCGTTGTTACCGTCTACACGCGTCGCGCAATAGGCCCCGCCTTCCGTGCGGCCTATCCGTCCGTACGCGCGCTTGTACCGCACCGCACCGTACCGTACCGACGCGCCTAATAGACGCGGCCCGCGACA